TAATGGTCAGTCCAGCAACTTTGGTGAAATCTTTGCAGGTGACGATTCTCTGTTTTTAAATACGATCTAGAAACTAAATAGCAGTCCAAGGTTGGCAGTCCACAGAAGCAAATCCATCCACCCGTGAACTCTAAGCAATATAAATTAGCAGCAAAAGTACTGATGACAGCTTACATCATCAAATCGCAGCAGCTATTCCATTGGAAACGATTTTAATACACATTTCCCCAACATTGATTCCTCTGACTCGCTTTTCTGTATCAAAATCTACTTACCAAGTGCTTTAAATAATTAAATAAATTCCCTCTTCTTTTCCCCATGCAATTCAATAGCAGCTGAAGAACAAATCTGTAGCTGATTAATGTAAGAGGCAAGTGTAACCGCGACCTTCCGCGACTTTCCGCGATCGGTTTCGGGTTCAGGGCAGTCCGGACTGTTAATGGTTTTCCGTCATCGGTCTGTTGGATTTTTCGATTTCCCTCAGACGCGCCACTCGTTCGGTTGGGCGGGAGGTGGGTAACGCTGGGTTCGTCGTAAAAAAAAAACTCTCATGACCATAAAGCACCATCCCACCGAGCTGTAGTTGTGAACGATTTTAAGCACAAAAACTCGTTCAACACCATCGATTGAGCACCGTATTCACCAGATTTGGCTGCAAGCGACTGGTTTTTTGTTTATAAAACTCAAGTTAGCACCCCATCGAACTCGTTTCGACCCGATTCTGGACGTAAAAGAAAATTCGCGGAGGGAACTAAGTTCGACTGATTTCAACAGTTGCTCGAAATAAACTGGTTCACGGATCGCGCTTATTTTTGACAAACCAATTAAGGCAGTGCTGCCAATTTAATAAAAAAAGTGTTGAAAAATATTCAGCGCAGGCAATTGAAATGATAATTTTCGGAAACTGTCTGGTTTTAATGTGCATACGTACATGTTAGGTACACCTGATGGGTTGACTCAACACAGTTTATATACAATACTTACCAGCTTCAGCTCACGAACATAGACATAAGCCACATTGTGTAGCTCAGACGGTACATTCGTGGTTCTTAAGTCAGACGCCGCGACGTGGTTTTCAATGGGAGTTTCGGCAGTGAATTCCGGAGAGTTGCCCTGAAGCTTCAACTGAACAGGCAGGACCTAACTAATATACTCTCCAACGATCCAATATACTTTGTGCGTTAATAACCAGTTTACCCATTGTCAACACTAAAAGCACCCCCCATACTGCATTAACTCTGGACTTTGCCTTTAAGGGGTTAGTTTGTGCATTTCTTGCTCAATATTTGCGCTTTGAATCAAACTTTTTTATTTCATTTCTTTTAGTTTATTCTTTAATTATATCCTTCATTTCATGTGGAAATAAAAGTCAACAAATTTTTAATTAAACCCCTGAACACACACCCCTCCACATGAAGAGCTCTACCGAACTGGCGGCAGATATTACACTTATTGTATCAACTAATTGAAAGCGGCTTCTCTTTTGTATCCGCTTGCGGGCAAATAGCAAATCAGCTCCTTTTCAACACCCAAGACAGAGTGATTCCTATTCAAATTCCAAGAAGTTCAATTCATTACTTTGAAATATTTAAAACTGACAGCTTAAACTGCTTGTGCTACCACATACTCGTACATACATACTACCGACACATATACCATATTCAAATACGTTGTGTGATTGTCGGATAATGTGGCAAGGCGCAGCAACTGATCGGCATGCGCATCGAGTCGTGAGTAAAAATGTTTTCCCCAACACTCGATCGATGCTGATATTTTGCAAGTTAAACGTTAATGCTCGTAAGTGGAAGCAGAAATAATAATAATAACAACAACAACACAACAGTATATAGTATTGCTGATTAATTTCTTATCTGCAACATGCGATCTACACTTCTGTATGAGGGGAAAAGGTTTGTCATGAGTCCTAGCGTTTGCCGGCAGAGAGATAGAGATGATCGCGTGCGGCGCAGCTGTCGAACAAATTTGAAGGGCATCACGACACAACTCAATGGTAGGAGTGTATACGTAAATATGGCATGGTTGTCAATGTCAGAGGGTGACCGTTAATTATATTAAAGCAATGCCACGAAAAAATAGCTGAAAAAAAAAAAATAAAAAAATAAAGAAATTAAGTATGATCTTTAATGATGCTCTCATAGCTTGGCTGCAAAGATCAAACAATTCTTCTATTCGAAGAAGTTAGCGGAATAGGGAAGGAGCTATGGGTAAAAAACCGTTAAAATTTGCTTTTATTTATAATTGAAGCTTTATATGCGTTAAATGCGATTTCGGCCGAGCTTCTCCTTCAGTTTGTAGTTTTGCGTGGATCCACAGTTTTATTCTAAGTCGATCTTTTTATAAGATGTCATTCTCTAAGACTTCACTTGAGGCCAATTTTTCACCGACCAAATCAAACGCCATTGACAGGCGCAGTTGGTAATCACTTGGTACGAGGTCTGGATCGTAAGGTGGATGCATAGGAGTTTCCCCAATCAAGCTCTCGAAAGTACTGGCGAGTCACTATCGATGTGTATGGTCTGATTATGTCGCGACGAAAAACAATTAGCCTCCAATGCTGGGCTCTTTTGGTTAATTGCTTGCTTCAGACGGCTCAAGTGCCGATAGTGTGGGTCAGAATTACGATTTTAGCCGTAGCGCAGCGGCTCATAGTGGATGATTCCTTGTCAATTCCACTAAACACAGAAGAACATCTTTTTGGTCGTCAATTCAGGCTTTCAGATCATTTGTGACCGCTCGCCGCTCTGCGACCACGACCGTTTTCATCTCACTTTGCTGTAAGTGATCCATTTTTCATCACTAGGTATCATTCGCTTCAGCAAACAGATGAAAACTCTATAATGTGGCACCCATACATCGAGCTGCCTTTGTATCGTGCCTTTTTTCAAGTGATTTCAAACTGTTTTTTGTGCAATGAGGAGCAATCGAAGCTGTACTCGACGATTTCCATTATTTTAACGACATTTTCAATATTTTCGACAATTGGTCTTTCACACCATGGTTCAGTTTTTGCATTAAAATTACCAGAATGGAGCTGTCATCAAAGAAACATTGCAGAATAAATCGTATTTTCCCTCAAACACTACTGAGTTATCGGACGCGAGATTTAAATCACTCAATCCCTCTATTCCAAAAGCAATTGATTCCTTCTTCAAAAGGCCAAAAAATAAGGGGATCTTCGTGAAGCAGTTGCATATGTAGTGGGTTCCACTCCACAAAGGCATTTTAGGGAGCGAAATAATTAATGCGATTGCAAAAGCGTCATCCTTCTGGCTAGAGAACCAACACATGATCATGATCATGCATGACCGCTAAGATTGTGTGCGATCGCCGCACACCATCTATTTGATTACGAGCTATCGAAAAGTCTGTAGGACTTTTGTTGGACTAATGACTGACCACTATCTAAGGGTAAGAGTCTAGAAAAGGCGTTTGTATTCAGGACGTTTGTAGGAAGTATAGCGAGACAAGCTTTAATATGAGATTAGAAGACCCCCGACCTTCCTTGTCGTTTTATGGAATTGGGAACAAACGTCATTACATCGGATTTTGCATAAAGACTTGGGTCTTAAGGCTTTTAAAGTTCAGTTAACACAAGAGCTTAATGTCATTTCTTTGCTGATGATGATGTCTCGGAATTTCACCGATGATGATGAGGAGCATTTTGACCTCCATGGCTACGTCAATCAGCATTTGGTGCTCGGAAAATCCAAAATTTACTGTTGAAAAGCCTCTCTATCCTCAAGGTATATCTCTATCCATAGGTATGTTTGGTGCGATTTATGGTCTGGGGTTTAACTTTTCAAAAAATGAGGCTGGAACAAAAGTTACGGTGAATGGGTTGCGTTTACCAAAGATGATTAACGATTTTTTAAGCAAAAGACATGCGACACAAGTAACACGAAACCATCGATTTTTAAGGGAAGGGATTTCGTATCGTCTTATCTCTCGAAGTGGTGATCGCAATGGGCAACCGAGTTCTTGTATATTAACATATTTCGAGCTCCTCCTTTAGGGCTACGTGAAAGGTAAGATCCACGCCAACAGGCCAACGTCGATTCAAAAACTTTTTTGTGGACTTCGTGTAGCTATTGAGCGCAAACATAGCCACAACCATAACCACTTGGCGTTTTGGTGATGGAAATTTTCGTAAAAAGAATTGGCGGATATAGTTTTCCATTTTTAATGACAAATCTTCCTCTTTACATTGGAATTCATGCCCGATCAGTTGCCTCGAAGAATGCCACCTCTTATGGGAAGACCCAGCATTTGTCCGCTCGATATAACAAGTTCTACAGGGTTATTTGTGAGAAATAAGAATTTCATTTAGTACACAAAATCCGACCGAAAAAGTGTGAAGAGAGATTTTATTGTAATCCCATTGTCCATTGATTTCCCCTTTACCTTTCCTCAATTCAACACACTTCGGCGTCTACAGTATACATATATATATATATGCATATATATTGTAAGTCTTTATAGGAATACTCGTATATAAATATTGAGTTAAAAAGCACAAGCAACGAAATAACAATCCATTTAGTCACTGTTGTGGTAAACTAAATAAAAACAGCTAAGAAACGAATTAAAAGAATTTTGTGGTTTTAACCACATCGATAAGAAAAATTTTAGAGCTTAAAACTTAAAAATCAAAAGTTTCTTGATTTAAATAAATAATTTCAGTACTGTTTTAACTCTGCACACGGCAACGCAAAAGATTTGTCGCGAAAACTACAAATTCAAAATATTTGCCTATAAGAGAAAAGAAGAGAAAAAGAGCAATAAAGACTTCCGAGTTCTGTGCGCAAAAATTTATAGTTATGAACGTGCAACTGATTTATTTTTCTTACAAATTCCTACTGATTTCCTATGCAATCACAACGATCCTACTTCATCAGGTAGCAACTTCATACTCTCTTTTGGATGCTACGAAATGCAATAAGAAATGGGAAGGCGGTGAGTGCAAATGTAGCGCAGACCAAATGAATTGTTGGTTCAAGAGTGAATCGGTGAACTTTAAGTTCAACTCAGACAACTTTTTTATTGAAATAATATGCACGGATGAATCATTGGACATCAACAAGAGTTTGGAGAAAGTTCCGAAATTCGAAATGCCTACAAGAGCTATGTTCAGTTTAAGAAAATGTCTACAGTTGCCTGATATTCTAAAACGGAATGATGTCATATATGATGCAGTGATAATTGCAATAGAATCAATGCCAATGAGTTTGCTTCACAACTCAAGTGGTATAGAGAGTTTAACGGTAAAGTCTTATATACCAATATCACCAATATTCTTTTTGCACCTCAAGTCGCTGAGGTCCTTAACATTTGAAATACTTGTGAATTATTTAGACGCTGATAGACCCGTGTATTTAACTACGGATCACTTTCAAAATTTGACCGATCTCGAGAATGTAACCATTACATACACCTTTTCTAATAGTTTTCCTGCGAATATCTTCTCATCACTTGCAGAACTACAACAACTGAGCTTACAAAATAATGAACTAAGTGAAATTCAGGAGAGTTCGTTCGCTGCTCAAGAGAAGCTCATTAGTCTGGATCTCAGTAGGAACTTCCTCAAATATTTGCCAGATAAATTATTCGAAAATACAAGCTCTCTAAGATATCTGTACTTGTCCGAAAACTACTTCAGCAATCCCTCAATTATCATTGCTTGCACCAAGCCTTTGGCATATTTAAACGGACTGGATTTGAGTCACAACAAATTGCGTACGATTACTGGTAATGATTCCCATGTCAATGAGACGCTCTTAACCAACTTCGAACAACTGAAAGATTTCGCGTCACCACTTTCGAACAAGAACCATAGCGGCGAAAGCGAAAGACGCCATTTCATATGGCTCGACCTAAGCTTCAACCCTATAAAAATATTCAATACGAATTGGTACAATAAAATGCGTACGAAGCTCCCCATAATCACAATACTTCCGAGTAATAAGAAGGAATATAGATATTTAGCTTTATCACTGTTTGATGCGCGCCCGCCATACAAAAGGCAATTTTATTACGCGGCAGATCCACAAGAGTGCTATAAAAGCCTATATACTGTTAGGTACATGCAAGCTAATATCCTTGAAGCCACAGGCGTATGCCGGTGGTTGCCTGACTATGGAAAGTGTGAGTACGTTTGGAATGCCGCAATGCTCTATATAGACTGTAGCAGCAGAAACATGACGGAGTTTACCCAATTAACTAGTCCCTCACATTTCGGTGTGAAGTATGCGAATCTCGACATCAGTTACAATAAACTAAGCGAGCTACCCGAAGCGACGACTATCGCTTATTTGGATGTGATCCAGTTAAATGCGTCGCACAATCAATTGACGGTCATCAGGTCCACTCAACTACCGTCGAACTTAGGCATGTTGGATGTGAGCAACAATCAAATGGCGCACTTAAGTCCAGCTCTTCTCCATCGATATATGCTAAGGGACCAAGCAGTCACACGCCTCTTCCTCCGTGGCAATCCTTGGCGCTGTGATTGTAGCGCCGAGCACCTTATGTTTGCTGTGAAGGCTTTTCGCAGCCATATATTCGATGCGGATCAAATGCATTGTGTAAATGAACCGACGAGAGGAGTTTTGGATCTTACCTATGCGAGTATTTGCCCCGAAAAGTGTGAAAATTTGTTGGACAACGAAATGCTCTATATAAACTGTAGCAGCAGAAACAATGCGAAATTTGCTCTTGTAGATGGACCAGCACATTTCGGTGCTAAGTATGCGAAACTCGACATCAGTTACAATCAGCTACGCGAGCTATCCGCGGCGACAACTATTGCTCATTTGAATGTAACTCAGGTAAATGTGTCCCACAATCAATTAACAGTCATCGGGCCCACTCAACTACCGTCCAACTTAAGTGTGTTGGATGTGAGGAACAATCAATTGGCGCACTTAAGTACTGATTTCCTCCAACGATATTTGCATAAGAATCAATCATTGACCCGCCTTTACCTCAGCGGCAATCCTTGGCGCTGTGATTGTGACGACGAGCAGTTTATGCTTGCCGTGAAGGCATTTTCCAAACGCATACCGGACGCAGACCAATTGCACTGTGTTAATGAGCCGCGGAGGAGAATTTTAAATCTTACTTATGCGGATATTTGCAGCATTAAGGAATCGATTTTCTCACCAGTTTATATTGGCGTTTCCTCTGCAGCTATTTTAACGCTCATCCTTATTGGCCTCTCCTTAAAGTACAGTCTACAATTGCGCATCTGGTTGCATAGTCACAACATATGTCGCCGCTTCATCAACGAAAGTGAATTGGATAAGAAGAAAAATTTTGATGCTTTCATCTCGTACGCTCATCAGGATGAGCAATTCGTTAACAAAACATTGCTGCCGGGCTTGGAAAAGGGTCCGACACCTTTTCGTATCTGCACACACGAGCGCAATTGGTTGGCCGGCGCTTATATACCCGAACAAATAATCGAGTCGGTCGAACAGTCAAGCCGCACGATCATCGTACTCTCACAGCATTTCATCGAATCGGATTGGGCGCGTATGGAATTTCGTATGGCTCATCAGAGTTCGTTGATTGAGGGACGTCCGCGTCTGGTCATTATTAAATATGGTGAGATAGTCAAAAGTAACTTATTGGATAGGGAGCTGAGAGCTTATTTGTCTATGACCACCTATTTGGATTGGAAGGATGAAAGGTTTTGGCATAAACTTCGTTATGCAATGCCTCATAAGAAGGGGGAGGCACGAGATGCGGACATGCTTGAGACGGGGCGCAAATACGTTATCGGAGAGATGGAATTGAATGGGCCATGTACAGCAAGAAATTGAATAGATTTATGTACACGAAAATACAGTTTTTGCTCTAAAGAACTTCTTATATTTTTATATGGAGGTCTAAAGCTGTTTGTTTAAATAGTTCGAGAATAAAGTAATACAAATTTCAGAAAACTTTAGTTTCTTTTCAGATGGGAGTAATTGTCGTTAGCAAACTCTCGAGTAAGGTAGGCAGAGAAAACAGCAGGCTAAAAGCAACAGTATCTTTATACTTCTTCGGAAATGTCATTAGTAAGTAATATGCGGTAGCTTCGTGAAGCCATAGTTAAGCCTATAAAGTTAGTTAGTTGTTTGTATGGTGGATGCAGAAGGCTTGCGGGTTTTCCTTCTATTGAGCCCTAAATACCGACAAAGGTTGAGACAAAACTCAGACGATTGAATGTTGAGTTGTGCAGCGCTTTCATTGCTACCATGTTACTCCCCACCCAGGTTAGGGCTGATGGGTCATTCAGCTAAGCTCCCACACCGCGTCAAGGTGCCAACCCTGAGCAGGAATATGGTTGTATTTTGTCTATGCAAGATCTACTGGGTCAACTAGCTTAACTCAACCCAAGCTTCTCCTTCGTTATGCTTAGTACGAATCATAATCATTCCAACGACATAAATTCTATTGCGATGCGACAAGTGGAAATGTGTATTACTCGACGCATATCGCATGGCAGAACTGAAGCAAAGCGAGCTGCTCGATACATAGACACCGTCCATCCACGCGATAGCGTTTTACACTGAGTATATATATTTAGTAATAGATTCGCGGCTTCTAACTGATTGTTTTGACTACTTTTTTGAGTCAGCGGCTCTACTTCTTACAACACTTAGCTACGGAGCCACGCAGCCATGCAGCCACGCAGCCGCCAACTAACCGACGCATTCATTCATTCATATAATTGTCGATGCGTTAAGGTAATTGTACACCCGAAGGCATTCAGTCGACGAACATCTCATCAATTTCCACATGCCTGCCCAAGCGTGCAGGTATCAGTGGCCAGTGTGAGGCCACCGCGTAGCCAAGTGAGCACACGTTTCAAGTGGATAGAGCGTTCGAATGATGTGGTGCGATATTGTTTTTGGTGTTCGAATAGAAATGTGCCAATAGAAACTGTTAAGTATTGTAGTTCTCTGTGATTTTACTTGGGCTTGGGTGTAGTTGTTGTAAAATGGGTGTTTGGTTTGGATAATGTATGAGGCCGTTAGTTGTGGTTTTCTTTTGAAAGTGCTAAACTCATAATTTTTCCCACTACTAAAGAGAGCAAAATGTTGAATCGAGGATATCAACCGTAAACATCCCAAAAAACTCTACGAGTAGACACATTACCTTGTGACCTTTAACAGGTCTGACTTAGACAGCCTAACTGCATGCAGTGACCTGCAAAGACCCAGAGTCAGCGTTATGGGTGATCTGTTAGTTGTTTGCGGTTAAGTAAGACGTACAAGTCAGGCAATAGTCAGGTACAGCTGCCCACGCGAGGTCCACAGTTGGTTAAATGCGTTCCAAACGGATATCGGCTGAAGGATGCTCATACAGGCAGGCTTATAAGCTGAATGGGAAACAGGTCGTTGCTAATGAAGTACATGATTACTTGTTGCATGCCAATTGAGAGACGCAGTGTGGTGTTTATATGCTAAAGTCGAGGTGCAATCTTTCGGCGAGCTTAGAAGGCAATCTTGCGGAGAGCTTAGAAGAAATCACACGATGAAAAGCTCTCTGCTTTCAATTCTGACTACGCTACTTGAAACCTTCTATATCTCGCCATATGTTTTTGTAGAGCTTTCGAGCATTAACTTTGTTGGCCAGCTTCTCAAGCTCGTCATAATCATCTATGCATTGAGGTCGACCGTCAGTAAACTTATTGGAGCTTATCAGTGTTACTTTAGACCTGTTAAATTCACCACTCCCAAGATTTACGACAAATTTCAGAACAGATCATTGAAGAATTGATCGATACCTCTTGCCTCTACGCCGCCTTATTTGCATTTGGTATCCCTACAAAACTTATATGGTGGTGTGGTTAACAATGAAAGCTCCGACAGGATCGGATTGGATTTCTTTGAGCCGTTCAACACCAAATGAGGTTTCCCACAAGCTGATTCCTTATCGTGTGATTCTTTAATTTGTTACCTTAGAAAATAATACGAGCTGCAAAGCTGAATAGAGAAGGTGCAAGCTTCTATAAGACACTAAGTGCCGTGAGTTCTGCTTTCTCTAGACTGGACAAGGAGCGAGGGTAAAATGAACGAGAGTTAAACATATTATCTCCTGTCATCAAACAAACACCCAGCGTATTCGCGACTCGGCTTCCACGTTACTTTTGACAGTCATGACTTTGAGGTCGTAGATAACGTCGTCTATGTTAGAACCAGTACTAACACCAATAACAATATCAGCACTGAAATCAAACGCAGAATCAGTCTTGGCAGCAGGTACTACTTCGGACTGCAGTTAAAATGAAAAGTAAAGTCCTCACTCGACATACAAAGAACAAACTCTACAAGGCCACCTGGTTGATGACTGCATTTGATGAGACGGCGTAAAGAGTTCACGGATGTAAGGTTTTACGTAAGATTTATGGTCCTCTCGGAGTTGGTAAAGGAGAATACCGCAACCTTTGGAACGTTGAGCTGTACGTGTTATACGACGACATGGCATAGTTCAGCATGAAGGAAAAGCGACTGCGCAGGCTAGATCATGTGGTTCGGTCGTATAAGAACACTCCAGCTCTGAAAGTTTTCGATGTAGTACCCGTTGGGGGAAGCAGAAGGAGAAGTAGATCTCCAGAGAAGGACTTACCTGTACTTGAAAGCTCAAGTTGACGCTGAAGGCATGAATTGCTCGTCTAAAATTAGGTAAGCGGCGTCTACGCCAGCAAAGAAGAAGAGGGTTCATAAGGAGAAGAAGAGAATAAGGCTGTCCATTTTTTAAAGGAAACCTAAGCTACCGAGAGATTTTAGTTTTACTTGTTTCTCCTTAGGTAAGGGGGTTTCAATATGACATTCAACTATATCTATCTCTTTAATATAGTCCCTTCGATCGGGGTAGGCATTTTTAAAGATCGATAATGCGATTGCTTTAAGAAAAAAAAAATAAAAAAAATTTTTATCTATTAAAAATCAATATTTTTCTCCTTAAAAAATTTGTAATAAATAAAAATACGAAATAAATCATGAAAAGTCAAAAGAAGTATTAAAAGCTTTGTAGATATGGGAATTTAAGAAAATAAGGTTTATGCGACGATTTTAAAGAAGAAGAGAATTTTTTCTTTCAAAATTTGATTTACACTTTGTCTTCTCGGTATTCTTTTTCTTATAGACTGGATGACTTTCAACTTCATGCAACACTCACCGGTATGTGGGTATGTATGTATGTGTGTGTGTGTATGTGTGTGTGTGTGTGGATGATCTGTCATTGAATGTTAAGGCAAAAGTTGATTATTAATTTTAATTTGACATTTAACAAATTGTCAACACCTCCGATGTCGTTGTTGTTTACGCTGTCACCACTGCCCATAGTTATAATAACGAGGTGTGGAATGAGCATATAAAGACGAGTTTATGAAAAGTCTGCTGTGTCGTATACACTGCTGTGCATGTGAATGTGTGTGTATATATGTGTATGTCAGTGTGTGCGCCAAAACATTATTTCTGATGAGTCAACTCATTGGGCTTACAGTGTCGCTCAGTCAGCAAGTGGCAACCTGTTGCCGGCAAAGCAGTTATTTCAGTTATTTTTTTTGTTTTTTTTTTTTTTTTTTTTTATTTTTTTTTTTTTTTTTTTTTTTTTTTTTTTTTTTTGAATTTTGTGTGATAACCGACAGTGACTAGTTTTGCTACTGGTTTTTGCTATTCGCCGATTTTTGCAGAATTCTAAATTTAGTAAATTGTTTAATTTCTTTTATTTTAAATTTCTTGTTGTTGTTGTTATTTTTACTCCATCTGCTCTTTGCACATTTCACTGACATTTACTAATGTCATTGCTGTCAGTGTTTAGTGTTGTTGGTGATTTTTTAATTTTTATTTGAATTTATGCTTATTTACATATACATATATATGTATGTATCCGTATATGTTTGTCTGTTGTACAGTAGCCAACAGCTTAGTGCTGCTTGTGGTCGTCAGCAGCCTCATCAACACATCGATGACAGCGCTGGCAATAACAACAACTACTCACCAACCAACCAACCAACCAACAATACTTCAGATACCGCCCAAGCAACGTTTGGCAAAGACCAACACCACAACGACAACGGCGATCAGCATGCAATATCTTTACGCCTTTCTCAAGTGATCTTCTTCTTCTACTTCTTCTTTTGAGTTTTTTCTACCTCCACTACCGCATGAGCGCATTAAGCGTATTTTGTTGTATTTGAGTGGTGATTTTGTGCGTCGAGCAGATTATCCTCAACTGCCCACCAGGAATCAGGAATAAATGGCATGTACTCGCACATATATATGCGCATATATACATATATACCTAAAGACATACATTAGCCAACTACCTTTTGTGTGTGCATGAATATGTGTATGTGTATGTATGTGTGACTGTATTTCTCTTGAGTTTACCTTCCTCAGCTACACTGCCGCACTGAGCGTCTTAAGGATTACGTCAAGTGCTGTTATTCATTTATAATGTTGCTGTGCTCCCCATGTTTTTGTTATTTTTGCTGTGTTTTATAATCCCTTCTACCGTTTAAATCAAATTGGAAATCGTCAAGTCATTGGCATTTATTTAATGAGACAACAGGTTGCTTGCCAACGCATCGCCTCATCGTCTGCGACAAGAAGTTAGAATTGAAATTAACTTAAGCTCTGGAGGGAGTAGTCTTTTTGATATTCTTTATTCTTTCATTGCGTTCGATGTTTTCGGACCTCAAACCATTTTTATTCTTTGCTGGTGAGACTATCATCGTCATCGATTTCAGGTATCCATCTTCGGAGTTTTCATTTCGGTCGCAATTGTATCAAAAACTTATTGGCTACACCAATGGGAGCAGGTATGT